GGAACAACCCGTAAATATTGGAAGAGGATGCTATCACGTAAAATATAGAACTTTTTGCAAGATTTCCAGCGTGAAGGTGGCTCTTTTTATCCAAATAGTAATAATATTTAGTTTGGTGTGACTTCACACGAAATTGGACACGCTCTCGGCCTCTTTCACCATCAACAGCGGTATGATCGAGATGATTACATAAGGTTTATCTCAGAGAACGTCCCAAGAACATATTGGCGCAATTTTGTTAAGGTAAAAAGTTCTTAATTGTATCTGATAAATGCGCGATCTCTTAGATTTTCTCTAATCTTAGATTCCTGCGAGATTTCTGAGCACCTATGGGCTTCCATATGATGTCGGCAGCGTCATGCATTACACCCCAACCGAGTAATTGTTTTATCCCATGTAAGCGAATTTATTTCGGAAACTATGACTTCAGGTTTGCTCCCGATCCGTACCTTCCCAGCCTTATCACTGTGGATCCAGACCTCCAAGGAACAATGGGAGCGCTTGATGGGCCATCTTTTCTTGATGTGGAGATCATAAATAGGCACTACCAATGTGACAGTGAGTGTTAGCTCATTTACGAATCTCCTTTGAACTACCAAATATTATAATGCTGTCCATAGTTGCGCTTCTAGCTTCTTTATGAACAGAATTTTTAAAATCTAATTCGACCGTCACTTTGTCAATATGCTATCGGATTCTCCAACAGTCTGTGATTCACTTTGATAGATAGATAGCAGAAGCGAAAGGAGAATCGAGCAAGGCACAACTGATATGTTCAAAATGATGAACGCAATTTTTACATTCGTTAGGCTTCCAATATTCTTATGAGAGCATAACTCTAAATGCCGCATGGTCAGATGCTGTGGATTGCAAATGAAAATAGGTTACTCTTATATCACCGTATCTTCCCTCGCTATGTTCTGTCCTGTTTCGCCACAAGCCCTCGTAGTTCTGAATCCGCTGCCCTCTCAGTGAAGGGCAGAGCTTGGGACAAAGCATAATCTAACCTCTACACATGTAACCTCACCAGGGTATAAATCAGTGTCACCTTCGCTTTCAATG